GGGGGGGGGTTGACCACACTTTTTTTCTGTAATGTTTCTCTGTATATATTCTCCAGACAAAACAGAAAGGGTAACAATGAAGATAACAGGACTGATTTCCTAAGATTCAAGCTGAAATCTTATAAACATACATAAATAAATAAAGATAACTAACCTAAGAAAAACTGATAGTTTATCATTATTTAGAAATATAAAATTTACCATAGTACAATCCTTGACCAACAGTTATTCTAAATTACCATATGACACAAAGTAAATACGTCTACACTTTGAGAAATAAAAATATGTAAATATGAGGTTTCAGTGGCCTTTAAACGGCAAGCCACAGAATTTACAAAAGCCTTGGGAGACCTCTTGTGTTCAAAGTTAAGAATACCAAAAAAATATATATATATGTACTTTAAAATGTATACTCTGTAATTTCAAGGCACTCTGCTTCCTTTTTCCACAGAGCTTTATTATTTCTTCAATATTAATAAAAATATCAACCAATGATTGACCAAAGTGCTCTTTTTACCCTTGGGTTTACAGCAGGAAAAAAAGGAGATTCTGTCTGAGAAACAAGAACCTACCTACCACTATTTAAAACAGACAAGAAGATACCACCAAAAACAAAACAACATTTCTCCTCAAAAATTCAATGCCGCATTGTTTACTGGTAGTAAGTACGGAAGGGGATGCTGGCAAGGTGTGTGGCTCACCCCACTAATTAAAAGCATCCCTATTCCCGCTGCTGACTTTTGTTTTCTTTTTCAGTATGGCTGCGATCCGCATCTCAGGTGGACAGAGGCTAAATTTTACGGGGGCCAAAACAGGCCCGCTCACACTTAGGGGGGGAATCAAGGTAGGGCCACACCTCACACGGTAAAGCAAAACAAGTAAAAAAAAGTTAATTAAAAGCTGAATGCTAAAATTAAATTTTAAAATATAAGTTGACCAAAATGAAATCTGGATTAGTGAAGTATTTTAAGAATGACAAGGGATCTAAGTGTCAAAATAATGGAATGCTACCATAAGCATGGAGGGTTTAGTTGGTCCAATCTACAAAAACACATAGAAGTAGTAAATGAAAATACAATAAAAAATATTTCTTAAAGAGAGTAAAAGAAAAAGGAGGCAATCCCCAAGGGCCAAAACAATGTGAGGGACAGCTGTAGAAGAGAGCAGGGGAGGGGCCTGCAGGAAAGTGAGGTCTGAGGGCAGGAGGCTTGGCTCCACCAAGAGGGCTTTTTCCTTTCGGCACTTTGTGTGTCTCTGTCTACTTAACCCCCAGGACAACCATATGAGGTGAGCACTCTTACTGTCCCTATTTTAAAGAAAAGGAAACTGGAGGACAACACAGCTGAGTAATGTAGCCAAAGCCACTATGGGGAAGAGCCAATTCTCCAACCCAAAGCCTACGGAGCAGGAGCCACCTATTCGACCCCTTGGCTGTGGAATCTCCACCACTCCATTCTGTCTGTAAACAGAGGTCAGCTTTACACACTGCACAGAAATGTGGGTTAACTTCTGACTTTGCTTAGTCTGATATGCAAACACAATAAAAATCACATGTGGTCGCTAAACACAGCAAAAATTACACACTCGCAATGATAACGAGAGAAATACAAATTAAGACAAGACAAAGGCAGCCACGAAATGTGGAACACCCACATATGGCACGCACACTATCTTTGGTGTGCCAAATAGCTTTTAGATCTCATTTGATGAATAAACATTTAGGAGTATCACCAGGCAATGCTGTCTGCCAGACGAATAATTCCATTTTGGCAACGGCTTTGTGGAATGTTTTGATATTTTATTAAATTTTGCCTCTATTGTTTTATAAAAATAAGTAGAAATCAGAAATGAAAGTGTTGATTCAATTGGTCGACTTTAGTCTCAATTACAGTGGACCCTTGAACAACACGGGTTTGAACTGCACAGGTCCCCTTATACATAGATTTTTTTCAATAAATACAGTTGGCCTCCATATCAGTGGGTTTCACATCTGTGGATTCAACCAACTGAGGATCAAAAACAGTATTTTCAAGCCAAGGTTGGAATGTGAGGATGCGGAGGGCCAACTGTAGCATTATTCTGCACCATTTTATATAAGGCACTTGAGCATGCGTAGTTTTTGGTAACCATGAGAGGTCCTGGAACCAATCCCTCACAGATACAAACTTAACCGACTTGTTAAGTTTTTGAGGAGTCAAAAGTTATACCAGATTTTCAAGTACACAGCAGGGCTGGGGGTGTTGGTGTCCCGAATCCCCGAATTGTTCAAGAGTCAAGCGTCTATCCGAGTTAAGCAAATATACACTCAATTATAAAGAAAAATGAACAAAACCAAAGTCACAAAATACTGGAAATAAAGTTTTGGAAAACTATCTTTAAAAATTTTTTAGAGATTTTAATCTTTTTAGCTCTTTGAAAGCAACACCCCTTATAAGTGTACTGTCTGACTTTCAATTATTCAAGTTCAAATTCACTGTGAGAATAGGATTAAGAACAAAATCAGGACACTTGAGGTGGGATTTTTCACTTATTCTATTGGCAGAGATTATTTAAATCATCACCCCAAATGTTAACAAGGGTTCAAACAACTCTCCTATACTATAGCAGTGGAAGGGTTACTTGATGTTACCAATTCTAGAAAGCAATGAAGAACTTTAGCCCTGACCAGTGTGGCTCAGTTGGCTGGGCATTGTCTGGTGCACCCAAAGGTTGCGGGTTTGATTCCCAGTCAGAGCATATGCCCAGGTTGCGGGCTCGATCCCTGTTGGGGGGCTGTGCAGGAGGCAGCCGACTGATGTGCTCTCACATCGATGTTTCTCTTTCTCTCTCCCTCTCCCTTCTTCTCTCCCTAAAATTCAATAAAAAATCTTTAATTAAAAAAAAAACAAACTTTAAATATTTATATCCTCTGGCTCAGTAATTTCACTTTTAGGAATTTAGCTTACAAAAATAATTGCAAATGCTTTATGCATGGATATTCATAACAATATTTGAAATACTAGGGGGAAAATGCAACATAACAAAACAGGAATGGATAAACTATGATCCATTTATATGACTGAATGTCATGTAGTCATCTTGTTTTCATGAGTATCCACTGAATACTGGCAGATAAAATGATGTTCTCTAGGCTTGCTTCAAATAAATAATCCAAGGAAGGAGGGAGTAAGGATGTGGTGAAGTGAGACTGGCTGAACTGAGAAATGTTAAAGCTGGTTGATAGACTCATGGGGGTTCTCTATGCTATTCTGTATAATTTTGTATATATTTGAAATTTTTCATAATAAAGCAAAAAATATATGGGAAATTTTAAGTAAAAACACAGAATACAAAACTGATTCAAAACATAAATCCAAGTTCATAAGCAAAAGAGATTACATATGTACATGGAAATAAACACTAAAATGTTTAACATTAATTATCTCTGGGATATAGTATTTGACTTATTATTTTTATCTTTCTTTTTAGCAACTCCTAACTTTTCCTAAATCCTACATGTTTTAAAAAATTGATAGAATTTTATGACTTTGCTATTTAAGTCCTTTTGCTTCAAGTAGCTCACTGAATTTGTGAATGACCATAAATTTGGGAGCAATCACTAAGGATTCTTAGTAAGAAAGCTTCATCTATAATCCACTCTCAAAAATAATACAATTTTTATGAAGCTAACAATTAATGATGGACTCTGTTTTATAAGCATTTAACTGTGTGTTGACTTCATAGTTTCCTTTTCTCATTTTGAAGTTAAGAAGTTATATTTTAGATCTTGTCTTAGGAAGATCTAGAGGAGCTTATAGGCCCTAAGCACCTAACCACTGCCCACACAGGAAAGATATGAGTGCAAATCAGCTGCTAACCTGCCGTCATCTTTTAACAGGCTGTCCATGTTGCTCTTAAAGTATGATACACTCTCTTTTTACTATGGCATTTGGGGGGAAAAGCTTGTTTCCAGCCATATACCAACCCATAGCTCTTCAGTAGCACCTAATCAAAGGTTAAAGTAACCATATTGCCTCATCTCATCAAAAATATACCCATTCAGAGAACAGGGTTTTTTTTAATGTTAAATAAAACAAAGATTTCTAAAATTTAAGAGAAAATTTCCTATTCAAAAAAGATATCTTCTCCAATAAATGTAGATTTTGCATAAAGAGCAATCAATTTCCAGGCAAAGAGTGAACTTTTGTTGTCCTCAGTGGCCTTTAATGCTACTCTTTTCGTTTGCTTCACAATTCCTACCTTCACCACAAATAAGAAGTATTAAATATCAAATATGATGAAAAGATTTTAAAACATGTTTTGAGATTTTCAAAGGTTAATTCTAAACCACCACAGGTTTTTAAAAACTTAGCCTAAATATCTAATATTTCAAAACTCATGAAGATACAATGCTAATGATTATGACACACTTTCATGTCCCCAAAATGCCAAATTCCAAAACCAATTACAGCGACCACCTTACAAAACATGTTTTCACTCTGGAAGAGAATCGGATCCCCTTTTCCCACAAGTCGAAGCCAAAGCGGACCTTACATCCCTTTGCCACAAGGTGGCGCACGTGAACAGCCTGTGAGTGGGTATGCTGGCTGTCACCAAGCTGTGATCTAAATGGCAATAAATATTGAGCTCCCAGGCTGCAATCTAAAAAACGGAAAAAGAGAATATTAACAAACTTCTATTTCAAGACTGCCTGTGTGGTATTTGTTCAGTTTGTTAAAAACCCATTAAGGTATACACGTAGGATTTGTGCCCTCCGCTGTGTGGTATATAAATAAAAAGTTTAAAAGTCATTCCTTGTGTAGCAGCCTACAGTTTAACCTGGTATTTTTGGCAGTTCCCATGGCCTAGCCTCTGGGTCAGCATCTGTATCTATAAATGACTCGGAAGAAAATGACAGGTCCTCTTCTATGTCCTTAGCTCTATCAAAACTTTAAAGTACTGAGCTTCCCCTGCCATGGGACTAGAATAAGAAACTGTAATGAAATAAGAATTTGATACCATAGCACATGCAAATAAGTGAAAATTAGAACATACTAAGGGTATGTATACATAAATTATAAACCTACTTGGACAGAGGGTATCTTTGAGAAAATGAGAAGAGAACCCCCTGGTGTGATTAGCTAATTATGATGCCTGAGTGATAAGAAATGCAGGACCAGGCAGGACCACCTGACACCCTGCCTTCTGCTAGACAGCACCAGGGCTCAGAGACTGCCCACTGGAGCCACAGAACTCTCATTCCAACATTCTCACTCCCCTACTCCATCCATTTCTGGATTGTATTAGTTCATCCCTACAGGGCAGGGCAGAAAAACATGAGCCTTTACTTTGGTCAAGGCTAAATCTATCATTTAACCTAGAGAGAAGGGGAGAGAAGAGCATTTCCTGTCACCCCTTCACTTCCAGGATGCCAGCTACATATTTTTTCCTGTCTGCAGCAAACATGTTGACTGTCTCAAAGCCTAACTTCATAACACAGAACACAGACCAATGCCATCTGAACTAAACACCACCACTTTCCTGCCACAACAGGATTTAGGAAACTGAAGAAAAAGAGTTGGCCAAGTCTTCACTTCCCATTCATGCGACAGAAGTGCCACCTCGTCATTCTCTGGTGGTGTGCAACCCAACCAGGCCTGAAACTGTGGAATCATCAAAATCACCCAGGACTCCACCAAAGCATTTCCCTAAGCTTGCCCTTAAATGCTCAAATTCCGTTCTAACTGTCTTAACTTTGGCCTACATCAAATACCCCAAATTAAATACAAACCCAGCTTAGACTGAGATAGCAAGATGACTCATATACAGAGACCTGCAAGACTTCAAACATCTGTTGGTGGCTGGCAGAGTTAAGGCGCCCTTCCACTGAGACCTATCAATGTTACTGGCTGTGGAAATTCATAAATTAAGGGTAAACAGGAACTGACATCTCAAAATTTTTTTTCTTGCTTGAGTCTTCATTAGGAAACACACTCACATGATTATGGCTCCCTCAGTCACTGATTCATCCTGTCAGCTTTGAAGGATGAAAGGTACTGAGCTTACACCATGGGGAAGCACCAACATTCCACCAGGAACCCCTCACCTCCTTCCCCACCGGTCTAGCACTCACCACATTTGTGTTTATTTTTAGTTTTTACCTTAAATGATGGCATTTTTAAAGGGTAATTAATTACATTTACTTCTTCATAAGGTCAGAAAATACAACAAAAATGCTGTAAAATATTTAAGGCTGGACAAGAAAAATATGAAACAGTGTTTAAAAAACAGCTTACCTCTGCGTCTTCCCCAAAGAATCTATACTTCTATCCGCATTCCACACACAAAACTGCGTCTTTCTGCCACTGCTTCATTTCTATCTACTGTAATCCTAATGGCGTGTAGATGCTTTTGGTCCTTTTGGTAGGTGGTTTAGAATCAGAAATTTTCTGTAAGTTTTCACAACTCCCATGTGATGACCAAATGATTGAGATCAGTTAAGTGTCTTGACCTGGCAACCAAGAGATTTTTAGAGTTTAAAAAGTACTAACCATAACATTAGTGAGAGAGAATGCAAATTTGACACAAAGCTAACAATTGGTGAATTTGAGGAGTACACATTATATTAAGGCAAATATTTTGTAGGTTTAAATTTTTTTCGAAGTAAAAGACAAAAAAAAACATGAGCCAAACTAAACTACTGTATAATTATTAAAGCAAATTTTGAAAGTCTAAACATTTTAATGTTTCACATACTTCTTTTTACATTTAATTGTATTTCATTAAACCTATTATAACTAACATTTTTCTTTTCATTATTTATTCCAAGTGTATAAGGCACAGTGAGCAGGCATGAGTCTCTCTAGTGTAAGGCAGAATCACTTCCAACAAGTGTGTGAGCAGCTAAAGTTGCAATATTTTACACTTCCAAGCACAGTCTAAAACATAGTATATTCCATAAGTAGTCCAAGAAAAAAACACGATTAGAACTTTTGGAAAAGTAGTGTTGTAACTTAAAGATTTTATCTTTTATTAAATTTTTTCCACAATTTAATAGAAAAGGTCCATGTGCCCAACAGGGCGTGGCTCAGCAGTTGAGCACTGATCTATGATCTAGGAGATGGTGGTTCGATTCCCAGTCAGGGCGCACGCCCTGGGTTTCGGGCTGGGGGTAAAGGGTGTGCAGAAGGCAGCCGGTCCATGTTTCTCACGTCGATGTTTCTCTCTCCCTCTCTCTTCTTCTCTCTCTAAAAATCAATTTTTTAAAAATCTTTAAAATATAATAAAGAATCCTAAGTAGTCTGGTAATAGGAAACAAAATATGGAAAAATGCCTAGTCTTACTTCTTGTAGCTTGCAGTCTGTAAATATTACTATCTTTTTTAAAAATCAAGCTAATTCAGTAATCATAAATGTATATGTTCCTTTGATCCAGATATCTGACTTACAAGCTTTTTTCTCCTAAATACTGAAACCAGAAGTGGAAGCTATGTCTATACAATTTGTAAGGAAGGAGGCACAAATTGAAAGTATTTTAAGCTAACTGAGTGGGATATTAAGCAGTTATCTTTAAAAGTATGGCTATTGCCCAGCCAGCATGGCTCAGTGGTTGAACGTCAACTTAAGAACCAGGAGGTCACAGTTTGATTCTGGGTCAGGGCCCATGCCCGGGTTTGGGACTCTGTCCCCAGTAGGGGGCTTGCAGGAGGCAGCCAATCAGCGACTCTTATCATTGATGTTTCCATCTCTCTCCCTCTCCCTTCCTCTTTCTGAAATCAATAAAAACATTTTTTTTTTTTAAGTATGGCTATTCATGTAAATCTACAAAGTACACAAATATGAATACTATTAAACAGTACTTTTTAAATGTCAAACACTGTTCTAAGTCTTCAGTTCCCACAATCCTAGAACTAGGAACTATATGTTATCTCCATTTTATAGATACAGGTAGTAAGGCACAGAAGATTAACATGACTTGCTTAGAAAATAACAGAATACATTCAACTGAAGCACTTTGACTCAGAATCTTTGCTTTTCACAACTATATTATACATGACTACAACTGATTAAAACTATATTGCATATAAGTTGGATAAAGCCAAAGGGAAATATAATTACTATATTTAGATAATGGGTGATAAATGTAAATTTTGGCAAAAATGTTAAAAATTTTCATTTCTTAAAGCAGATCCACTAGTTGTCAATATGACAATTATATATGCGTAAATACAAATACATGAAAATATAGGTGTATGTTCCCAAAACATATCTATTCTTTCTATGTGATTTTACAGGTAAGCAGAATTTGGTGATTACGGGTAGGAAGACCTGGTTCTCCATTCCAGAGAAGAATCAGCCTTTAAAGGACAGGATTAATTTAGCTCTCAGTAGAAAACTCAAGTAAGTACAAATTCACCACATGAAAATCATGTCCCACTTCTTATGTTGGAGGTCAGTATACAATGAAATAAAATACTACGAATGTAGCTATTGATGAAGCTGTTTAATATCACATAGGTGATTACAGGAAATGAAAAAGCAGTTATAACTTACTCTGCTGCTCAAGTGAGTGATTTAAAATCTCCTCAAATGATGAGTCTTAAGAAGTCATATTAAATCTCACTATGGTAACAGAATTAATTGCAGGCTTCCTTGAACCATTCAACTCAGTTCAGTAGGGTCAGAAATCAGTTATATAACATAAATTAGTAACTTTTCAGTTGTACATAAAACCAAAATACATGTTTTGGGACTTGCTATCATTTCCCTGGACCCAGTCCTAAATGCAAGAAGATAAAAATTTTAAGATGGGCAAAAAACTATCATAACCTCGTGCCCTATTATTCCTAGTTTTCCACAATACTCACAAAGTATTTTGTACTTCTGTTCTTTATCCTGTGTCTGCAGATAAATTTCAAAGTATTGAAATGGTCCTAGGGATCCTAGAAAAAGGGTGTATGTCCAGTTGGGCCCTGCTAGGAATTTTCTTGCCCTCCAGGCCAATGTAGTTAGTTCCTGAGGCCTGGAAATGAACTGGAAAGGGGCGGGCCATCAGGAAGGGGAGGCTCCAACTCTTCACGGGCTGAAGCTGATATCTGCAGGTGAAATTCTTTCAGGGAAGCCTCAGATCTGTATTTAAGGCCTTTCAGCTGATTGAATCTGGCCAACTCAGATTAAAGTCATCCAATTATCAACTTCAGTAACATCTATAAAATACCTTCACAGCAACACCTAGATGAGTGCCTGAATAACTGAGGACTATAGATGAGTGTCTGAATAACTGAGGACTATAGCCCAGCCAAGTGAACACATCAAAGACCATCACACCACAGGAAAGAAAAAACATTGCCCAACTCTAGGCTAATGGGGTTCAAGTTTCAATAGGTTTTCTCCCAGATCCCTCCTAGAATGGCGTAGGGAAAAACCTGGAAGAAAGTGTACCTGAATATTTGCATTGCTTGCCTTTGAGTGATAGGGAATGTGTTGATGTGCATCTTGCCATCTGCCTCGATCTTCAAATTCTTCTCTTTCTCCTGGTTGCTAGGATGTTCTGATTATCCTACTTGGTAGAGTCCAAATTCACAGACTGTATTGCCATTTCCAGAGACCCTTTAATAATATATTCTTAAATACTACTCAAGTTTATTTATGGCTAGGCTGAGCTAAAACAAACATAAAGAAATCTCAGTGGGAGAGCTGTTCAGCTGAGATAGCAAATCTCCTCAAATAATGGTCTGATTTCTTCTTTATGACCCCTCTGTGGTATGTGTAATTGGGTTTGGTTGTTTATTATATATTTATATATAACATTTATTGGTGAATTTCACTTTTTATTTATAGGCAGAGAGAAAATTTAAAGTCTTTATTATCAAGCATGCCAAGGAAATAGGGATATCAGGAAAAAAATTTAGAGTTTATTTTTTATCCTGCCTTCTCCTTCCCTGGTCAACTGCTGGTCAGTCCCACATATTCTGACACCTGCTGTGTACTAGCACTGCTGGGTCCTGATAAAAGGGGGGAGATTTACACAGTGAATCACTATTGCTCCTGTAAGTTTTCAGGGACAGTCTCACCACCATCCTCTCCCCCATATGAGAAGAAACTGAATCCTCAAGATAATCCCCAAATCAGCTGCCCCATACTAGTTATTTTGGGTAACTATTTACTTAATAAGTTATGGGGGGGGGAATGCTTTTCCATGGCTTTCTAGACTATCAAGTGTGGCTTTAAAAGAAACACTATACAGCCACATTTGGAAAACAGATTGGCACTTTCTCAAAAGGTTAAACATAGAGTTATATGACCCTGCAATTCTCCTTGGTACCTACCCAAGAGAAATGAAAACAGGACCACACAAAAACTTGTACACAAATGTTCACAGCAGCATCATTCATAACATCCAGAAATGGGAAACATCCCAAATGTTCATCAACTGAGGAACAATAAACAAAATGTGCTACAGCCATACAATGGAATATTTATTATTCCACAAAAAGGATTGAGAGCCAAGATACGCTACAGCACAGATGAGCTTTGAAAACAGTGTGCTAACTGAAAAAAGCTAGGGACAGCAGAGCACGCGATTCCCTTTCTATGAAATGTCCAGAAGGGGCACATCCACAGAGAGGCGGGGGCGGCGGGCATAACCGATACTAGGTCATGGGCTTCTCTCCAGGGCGATGGAAATGTCCTGAAAGCAGACGGTGGTGATGAACATGCTAAATGAACATACTAAAAAGTTAACTGAATCGTACACGTTCAAAGGTAAATTGTATAGTATGTGATTTCTATCTCAAGCATTTTTTTAAGGTCTTTGGAACCAAAAATTAAGAAACTTTACTGCAATGCTGTAGCTTTGACAGCATCTTTAAAAAACCTAAAATTGCCTCCATGGAATGTCATAATTTGTCCACAATCCAAAAATTATCTAACATTTCATGGTGTAATATTTTTTGTGGTCTCACGATCAAATTCTCCACAGTGACTGAAACTTTCTCTCCTCAAGGGGCAGCCCCCCCCCACTCGGTGCAGCAGAGGCCGCCCCGGCTTCTGCTCTGCCCCCTAAACGGGATTAATGATGACAGCGTCTTAGGGCGATTTGAAGGATCGAGTGAAATTTTATGTTATTAATTTCTGGCGCGCAGAAGGCACCCTACGGAGACATCAGGCGCCACTCCCCCACCCTTGCTCCTTCGGCAGCATGACCCTGACAGCTTACAGAAAATGTTAATATTAACGAGAGCACAGCGAACAGGCTCATGACATCATCATTTTCACCTTCACACATCACCCTGTTCTTCTCTCCCTCCATCTTCAGACCAAAACCCCTTCTCTGGCCATCGGCCCCCCGCTCCCGCCGTGCTCCCGGCTCCCCGGCCGCTGCCTTCGGGCCTCGCTCTGCCGTCTTAGCCTTCACTGTTTTAAACCTTACCGCACGTTATTTTTCTTCTGCCCTCCACTTGGAGCTTTCTTGTGTTAAGTAAGTTTAGGAACTTCAGTAGAAGCCTCAATAATATCGCTGGTGGTCCGTCACTTCTGTGTTTGGCACCTTGTCACCCCCTTCAAGGCTCAGCTAAGGATCACTCTCCGAGCAGCACTCGCCCCCATCAGCCCACCCGGGGGACTCACCACCTCTCTGCCCATCTAGCATCCTCCACACAGCTCCATTACGTGGCCAACACTTGATGGCCACTGCTGAGACATTTCTGTGCCTGCCATTGCCACCTTTTTGGTACAGGGAGTGCTTTTTTTTATATCTCTATTTCCAGCATCTAGCATAGTCCCTAGCAAAGTGAGAGTTCAGAAATTCTCACAGAATGAATAGTCCATTCAGTGATTCATAAAAGTAGGGTCATCCCACATAGTATTACTTTGTAACCTCCAAAAGGAGCTCATTTTCTTGCCAAAAGTCTGGATGATGCCTTAAAACTTATTGAGGAACCAGAATTAACAAATAAAGTGGACATGGTTTGGATAGTAGGAGGTGGTTCTGTTTATAAGGTAAGTAAAGTTATCTGTAAATACAAAGAAGTGCTCCACTCTACCTNGTCTTTTCCCCCCCGTTTGACATATTAAAAGATTAATTTCTGGAAATATTTTTAGTGGCTGCATAGTATTCAATTATGAGATGGAGCATGCTTGAACCAATTTTAAATAGTTGAAAATCACATTTCTAAAGACTATGTAAGGTTTTACATTGAACATATTTGTATTCCGGTTAAATGTGATTCTAGCATAAGGCTTTTTACAAAACGCTTTCCCGACAGTCCCCAGAGAAATGGGGCCAAAGTCCCATCTGCCATGCATCTTCTTTGACATCGGGCTCGGTGGAAAAAGATAATGTTTATATGGTACCTGGGGTAATCAGGTGAGGCTGCTGAAGGCCATAAGACACTGGTCTGAGGGCTTTGCCTAAATTAGGCCACACCATCCAGAGGTCTGAAGAAACCAGAAAATGACAGCCTTGTAACTGGTGGCCACCAGTTGAGAACATATCGTCAATGTAAGAAGTTGCAGCTCAGGCTCCAGCATCAGACTGCTGGAGTTCAAACCCCAGGATCACCATTTCCTAGCTCGGTGACCATTGGTTACTTAACCTCTCTGCCTCACTATCATCATCAGTAAAAATGTACCTGTGTCCTATGTACCTACACAGGGCCGCTGGAAACATGAAATGGTATGATGCATGTAGAGTACTGCTTGACCCCACTACTTGAGAGAGCAAATAGCCACTCAACAAACGTTAGGTGTTTTCTTTCTACTATAACTACCCATCAGGTAAAAAGCAGCCTCCCTCGAATGGGGCTTTTAAGGAAAGGTACGGAACCTGTGATAGGAGTGCCTACTATATGCATTATAAATTTTCATGCCAACCCTCTGAGGGAATTCAAGGCTTCAAGTTCAAAACAAGATATCAGGCACGTTGATACCTTGACACGCTTCTTGACACAGAATTTGTATGCCGCAACATACCAACTCTCAATTGTCGAGGATCCAGTCTCCACTGGTTTGAAGTAATTAAAGGAAGGAAATTTAGCAGTGAAATAAGTCACAATACTGAGTGCTTGCTATGTGTTAGTCACTGTAGTAGTTCTAGGATTTGTGCTGTGGAGGAGCTAATGAGCTCAGACATTAGCTCAACTTTTTGCGTTTTTCTTTCTCTCCACCTGGGAGTCCAGTGTTGCCTGTGAAACTTATTTCTAAACTGCTAAATAGCAACATTTCGCAGAAGCATTTCCTCCATGCCTTTGTTATAACTAAAATCTGAACTAAATCCCCTAATCCGTTCTTTGTTTTCCTTTTCCAAAAAGAGCAAGTAGTTCTCACCTTAATCCCTGAACCATTTTGAGCCACTGTCCCACGATGAAAGCCTAATTCTGCAGGTTTCTCACTTAGAAAGGGAATTGCAACCCTCAGCCCAAAAAAACAGTTGTGCAGCTTGGAGAGATTGAGCTACTCAGTGTATACCCTGAAACTAGCATTTTATTTCTTGGATTTTTAATTACAAAAGTAATTAAAGCATGCTCAATTTTTAATACTTCATCCACTTCTGTATTATTTGAAATGTGAAATTTCTTTTCCCACTCACCACATATTAAGTTTCAATATCATTTCAAACTAGTCATTCAAGCATATTACTTTTTCCAACATTTTATCATGAAACTTTCAAATGTAAAAAACTTTACCGTAAACACTTGTATACCCACCACATAGATTTTACCATTTGAACACTTTATTCTGCTTGTTTTATCATTCATCCATCCATCAGTCTTGTTCTTTTTATGCATTTCCAAATAAACTGCATACATTAGAATGTTTTCCCCTAAATATTTCATCATATACATCAACTAGAGTTATATTTCTTTACAGATTTGCTTTTGAGATAAATATTACATACAATGAAGTATACAAGTCTTAAGTGTACATTTCCTAGGTTATGACAAGAGTATGCACCTATAGAACCCATATCAAAGATGCAGAACATGACCATAACCCCTAGAAAGTTTCTTCATGCCCCTTCCCAGGGAATCTTTACTCCATCCCTCCAGAGACGACTACTGTTCTGAGTTTTTTCAATCATAAATATCTCAAGATAACAGAAGTGCTTTTGTTTTTTGATTCACTGTGGACCATATGTACACAAATATGAGTAAAATTATTGGTCATAGGCCATACTGCTGTTAACTGTTTTTTGTTGAAAGGATTCATACTTATGATGATTTTAGTTTTACAATTATTGCATCCCATACAGATTACTTGACTAGTATGAATGGCTTTCGTAGAAACTGTATGTAATTCTTTCTCTTAACCTCAGGGAACCTCCAAAAGGAGCTCATTTTCTTGCCAAAAGTCTGGATGATGCCTTAAAACTTATTGAGGAACCAGAATTAACAAATAAAGTGGACATGGTTTGGATAGTAGGAGGTGGTTCTGTTTATAAGGTAAGTAAAGTTATCTGTAAATACAAAGAAGTGCTCCACTCTACCTTCTTTCAGCTTCCCTGCCATCGGTACTTGTTAGGTCACGAGCTAAGGAAGCACATTTCCCTGCTGTCAGTCAGACATATTGTCAATATGAATTCTCTATTTCTTGATACTATCATGCAAACTAAGTAAAAATGTAAAAGTAAGCTTTTAAGTCTTTACCAGTTTATTTCCAATTCAAAATAATTGATGTTTCCAATTTAAAAAACATTCTAAATCCTTCCCTTAGAATCATATCGGGACTGCACTGTTTTCTACTCCCTGGATGCCCTGAGAAACTGAGTTACCCCTTTTCTTCAAGGAAGAATAGGTCTCTTACTGAGNCCTGAGAAACTGAGTTACCCCTTTTCTTCAAGGAAGAATAGGTCTCTTTCTGAGACAGCGATGGGGCTCTCAGTTGATGTACACTGACCAGATGTATTTGAATTTGTTAAAAGCAGAAAACTCTACCTCCACAATTTCATATAATGTGAGGGCATGGGAAAAGTATTACTTTATATCATAAGGGAAAACAGTAAGTAAAAGAGAAAAATATTCCTTGTTCTTGACATCAAATGACTTCCAGCTTTCAAAAATTTTGAGGACAATAAAAGGAATTGTCTTACTCTTTTAAAACACTAATGAAAGATTAATATTTATAGGGAGGGAAAAAATCAGCCCCTACCCTTTGCGGGCTTGTGGTAATATGTGCACTGAAATTATTTGAGAAAGAAGAGCTATACCAGGTCTTAGCTGGGATTACAAAAACTGTTCTTAGGTTCCTTTTTCTACAACCTTTTAAACAATATAAATACTGAAAATTAAATTCATTCATATAATCTGATAGATCTATATGTAGTAAATAATAAGGAAGTAGAACCTCCAGGTTATAATTCTGCGTTATCCACCTACCTCACATCACAGTATCTTGTAGAGCATTTAGGCTTCTCTTCTCATGGGCCAAAGTGGGCCTACTCGCCTGTTTTTGTAAAGTTTTACTGGAACACAGCACACAGCCACGGCCATTGGCTTAGTATTGTCTGTGGCTGCTTTTGCCTAAATGGTAAGAGAAACCATATGGACCAAAAGCCTAAAACATTTACTATCTGACCCTTCACAGAAAAGGCTTGCCAAATAGCATTCCTTTGAGACAGACCTTCACATGCTGCGGGGTTAGTCCTACTCGATTTTCCTAAATTTTGGTACAGCAAGAATTGGTAAAATATTTGTTTGAGACAAGAGAATAAATGATGTAATACTATAAGCTGTAGTGTTGAAAATAAAATGAAATTTGTTCTGTGCGCTTATTTGGAATTTTAAAGATAACAAACACTTGAAATTACATTTATATGTGTGTGTATATATTGTGTGGTTTTTTTCAATCCAGAGTTTTTGCTTTCTTGGAGCAGCAGCTAGGACTCATGATTTTTTATCAACAATATTATAGATGATAGTCAGAAAAGTCATTATCAGGATGAGGCCAAACAGAATCATTAGCAACAAGAGGCAGAATAAATTACCTACTAGCATTGTAACTATCTCCTGGGAAATGGAAGCATTATTAAATTTTATGTAAATGTACCAAGTATGCCCTTGAGGTTTTCAATAGTCAAGGTCTCATGAAATTATACTATCTTATCCATTTATGTATATGTAAATTTTTCTATAGCCAGTAACTAGATAATTCAGGATTCCTAATTCCTAAGCAACCACCAAAGAAAAAAGATAAAACTGAATGCTTAAATGAAAAAAAGAGTTCATGTAAGCAAACTAGAGGCCAGAATATATTTTAACTCACTCTCATAATTATGTATAATGATTAGTGCCATTCTCAGCATAAATAAGGCATATTTTGCAGGGCTCCAAAGTATAGGATAGTTAAATAGCATTCTTTCATACCTACTACAAACTTGCTATATAATTAAAACAGATAAAAATCTTGAGTTTCAGTTTCTTTTGACACAAATAAGGAAATTGAGGGTTTCTGTTTTATTTCAAAGGAAGTCATGAACAAGTCGAGCCATCTCAGATTATTTGTGACAAGGATCATGCAGGAATTTGAAAGTGACACATTTTTTCCAGATATTGATTTGGAGAAATATAAACTTCTGCCAAAGTAAAATGTTATTATTCTGAAGCACTTGCGGATTTCCAGTCTAAGAATTTCGGGAAAGAGTATGTCTCTCAGATTGAATTTGGGGTAATAATGTGTTTTATAGACAAGTACTATAGAAATTTTTGGAATTCTGCTTTCACAGACTTGGGAATGTTCAAGTTTTACTGAAATCTAGAGTCATCCTTAGTCCCTTTTATGAGATTTGTATTCAGCATCAACACTGTCCTGGGCATTGAGGAAAGAGTATTTACCAAAACAGAGGCTGTTCACTACTCCGCAGATTACGTGTTTGCACTAGAGCGGGAGAGCGGCAAACAACAGATAAACACCAGGAGTGGCGATGGGGGACTGACGCTGTGATGCGGTAAATACTGGCTAGTCTGAGAAGTCCTCTCCGAAGGGTGATGTCTACACTGACATCGGGGGAACTGGGCATGCTCTTCCCCGCGGCGGAAAAGCAGATCTCAAGAAAAANGTATGCTCTTCCCCACGGCGGAAAAGCAGATCTCAAGAAAAAGAATTTTCTGAGACTTGCACAGGAGGATGAGCGCTGTTTATTTGGGNCATGCTCTTCCCCGCGGCGGAAAAGCAGATCTCAAGAAAAAGAATTTTCTGAGACTTGCACAGGGGGATGAGTGTTGTTTATTTGGGCGGAATTGCATCCCTGGGTTTCCAAAGTCCCATTCCAGTTACAGGAGTATAGCTGGGGTTGCAGCAGAGCTGGAAGCAAGGCCAGTGTCCAGCGTTCCCGCTGCGTGTCGCAGCCGCTCCGGCCCAGCGCCAGTCCGTCTGTGCGGGGCCACCTGGCTGTGGGCCGTGGGGGTGAACACCGCGGCAGGCGCGTGAACCTGCAGGCCAGGAGCCCACGAGAGAGCCAACTCCCTTGTTTAGGGGATAAACTATGCCTAATTTTGTGCCCTGGAGTGGCACGCCCATTCTGGGCAATGAACTGTTCCCAGGCATAACCGACAGGCAGGTACCTTCCTGAGGGCACCCCGACTTTACTGAGCATGCGTCTGTTTTCCTTGCCCAGTCCCCCCAGCTATTTGGGGGAATAGACAGGTGGGTCCCTGGGGAGTGTCAAGTTGTAGCTGCCTAAATGACAAGCCTGTAATTCTTGGCCTTCCCGCTGCTCCTTTCCTGTTGTTAATAACTAGGTTAAGTACAGCAGTAGCATTACTAGTATCTAAGTGACAAGCGGGCCACGCAAAGAGCCTGGGAGAGCATTCTGGAAACCAGAAAGAGCCAGTGCCTAGACCTACAGAGACCCAGCGACGGAACAAGCTTAGCTTATTCCCGGAGCCTTGAAAGCCACTGAGGGCGCTGTGAGCAAGGGGAAGGGCCAAAGGGATGGGGCCAAACGCAGGGTTAGGGGGCTCTGAATTAAGTGATGTTCTAGCTGTTTGTGGCGAATGGGCCGGAGGGGACAGGAGTGAAGCTGGGAAGCCAGTTAGTTGCAGTAGTTCAGGTGACAGATGCAGGGACTTAGGCAGCAGGGGCAGAGATGGAAAGGAGAGATTACACTTGCTTTACTGTGTAGCTGCGATTTTAGCACGAAAACGCCTGATTTTGAAAACTTACAGCATTTTAGTTTAAACACACTTTTCAGCTTTAAGATTAATTATATCAACACTTTTGACTAGCTTTTAACACATTCTCTCACATATTCTCAGTTGAATGCAGTCATTCTTTGAGTGTGTTTGTTTTGTAAATACCTCCTAAAAGAACATTCAGAGCCAAGTCTGAATGAACGGATGGCTAAGCTTTTGATTGATAGTTTATAGAGTAATAGGTGGTCGTCTTGAATCAAACGAAATGTATGACTGATTTTCTTGGGCTCTTAACTAGCTCTAACCAGCTGAAGTTCAGGCTTTTGCTTATAGTTTGCAAAGGTGACTACATAGAAAAGTCACACTTACTGATTTCATATATATTTATATAAAAATACGTGTGTGTTTTTGCCGCACCTTATATATTTTCTCTTACACTGTTCAGGCTGCCGATTGTCACACGATGTGAATACTGATCTCTGTTGTCCCTCATTTCTTACCTTTCTCTTTGCTTCTAACAAAGAATAGGTTACTGTGTGTGAGTCAGCTTCATGGTAAATACCTTTCCACATCCTGTTGTTTTCAATCAGGCTTCTTCCAAAGCTCTGACCCTTCAGGATCCTTGATAACTTAAACACCATTCTGGCTCTCTGACTCTCAGAAATGAAAAATTTAATATCTTTACTGGAAATGATTCATACATCACAACATTCACCCACTGAAAGTATATAATTCAATGGTTTTAGTATATTCCCAGAGTTGTGCAACCATCACCACAATGTATGTTTAGAACATTTTCATCACCCCTCCCAAAAATACGTGTACTCACTGGCAGCCATTCTCCCTCCCTTCCTTCCAAGCCCTGGGAACCAGTCATCTCTTTTCTGTCTCTACAGAGACGCCTATGGAATTGACTTCTGCCTCTTGGCACACCGTTTGGAAGTTCATCCATGTTGTAATACAGGGGTGGGCAAAAGCAGGTTTACAGTTGAGAAGCATGAGACACAGTTTATATTGCATTATTTTCCATATGGACAACTGTAGACCTACTTTTGCCCACCAGTACTTGCTTGACAAATTTTCTACCATTATTTGAATTATTTTTTTTAATTTACTTTTTTTTTTTTTCTTTTCTCTTTCTTAATGATATCATTTGTAGCACAAAGGTTTTTCATTTTGATGATGTCCAATTTTTCTGTTTTTTCCTTTGGTCACTTGTCCTTTTGGTGTAATAATATCTAAGAAACCACTGCCTAATCCAAGCTCCTAGAGGTGTACTCTGTTTCCTAGTAAATGTTTTATAGTTTTAACTCTTACTCTAAGTGTATGGTCCATTATAGTTAATTTATGTATGGTGTAAGGAAAGGGGCCAAGTTCATTCTTTTGTAAATGGCTATCCAGTTGCCCTAGCAATATTTGTTGAAAAGACTATTCTTTCCCCCATTAAATTGTTTTTGACTCCCTTTATCAAAAATCAGTGGACCATTGCCCTGGCCAGTGTGGCTCAATTGGCTGAGTGTTGTCCCATGCACCAAAAGGTCACTAATCAGGGCACATGCCCGGGTTGTGGGCTCAATACCCAGAAGGGGGCGTGCAGGAGGCAGCCAATTGATGGTTCACTCTCTTATCCATGTTTCTCTCTCTCTCCCTCTCCCTTTTTCTCTAAAAATCAATAAACTATCCTTTTAAAAAAACTTTTTAATTGGTACATTACTTAATTATATGTGTATTTCTTTTACAGATACCCAGGCATTCTTTCTGATGTCCAGGAGGAGAAAGGCATTAAGTACAAATTTGAAGTATATGAAAACGAGTAATGTGAAGGTGTTTTCTGATTCATTTCAAGTTCCTCTCCATCCCCGCCAAGCAACTATGTATTTAACATTAGAAAAAGACTTCTGTTGACTCTAGATCTGGATAACTATTTCTAAGCAATGTATTTTTATTAATTAGTCTTAAGATTAATCTTAACGATGCTATATCATATATCATTTGTGAAACATCTGTTGCTATAACTGTCAGAATGTCCATCAAGGGCCAGGATTAGGTTCCCAGCACCCGCCTAGGGTAACATATACCACGAAACCACAGTGGGAGAGTCCCCTGATAGCATGAGTTGAAACCCAGGCCTATAAAGAAAGGAGCTAGCCAAATTTGTCCAAATGTCAGAAATGGATTATAAACAGAAGAGGTAGAACTTTGACATTAAAAGAAAAGTAGATCAAAATAGGGACCAGAATTACTCTATGCATATCACACTTGTGAAAAAAGTTCTGTTCATTCAGGGAATCACTAAGCTGAGAACTGCAGAATACTCCACAGAGATAGTAAGAGGCAGGTAGGAGACTACTTTCGTGATGATTAAAAAAGAAGGTCTGAGACCTTTAAAAACTCATTGGGATGTTCCAGTGACAGAACAAGAATAGACTGCTCTTCACACAAAAAAGTAATCTAACAGCAAGCATACGGCCAAAATTAAAAATTCACTCTCACATCCATGTTTCTCTCTCCCTCTCCCTTCTTCTCTAAAAATCAATAAACTATTCTTTTAAAAATATGTAATTTTAATTGATACATTACTTAATTATATGTATATTTCTTTTAGATACCCAGGCATTCTTTCTGATGTCGGGGAAGATAAAGGCATTAAGTACAAATTAGTAAGTTAGAAAATAAACTTCACATAATTAAAAAATGAAAATTAAAGCATGTTTTACCCATCATGTTAGCAAATATTTGGATTTTTAGGTATCCAAAGAAAGAGCATTTTCTGTCTTATAAATTGGTACAAACTTTTTAGGGTAAAAGTTAGCAATGTCATTTAAAATTCAGAATAACTTGGGGTTGGACCCAGAACTTCCACTTCCAGAAATTAATCCTGAACAAAGAGATGGGCCCAAGAGTATTTGTTGCACCATTTTTTTAAACTTAGAATAGTATCCAAAATTTTTAATGTAGGAAAAATTATGCTCTAAACTGTTGACAGTATCAAAGTTGGGTGTGTTATTTTATGCATTAGGTATGTCTATTGCAATTTGATTTTTTTTAACTACTATGTGCTTATTTTCATGAAAAATTAATTAGGGTAGTAAGTTGAGCCCTTCACATTCAGCAGTAAAATTAGGATACAGAACATCAGGAGTAAAAAGGAATTTCCTAAAAATCTTTCATAGAGAAAAAAACAAAAAACAGGTCACACAGAATAGAAATCAGTACTTCATAAGACACGCCCTCGCAGGTTTGGCTTATGGTTAGAGCATCAGCCCGAGGGCTGAGGGTCCCAGGTTTGATTCTGGCCAAGGGCATGTACCTCAGTTGCAGGCTCAATGCCCAGCCCCAGTCGGGGCCAGTGTGGGAGGCAGCCAATCGATGTGTCTCTCTCTCTTCCCCCGCCCCCTCCACTCTCTCTGAAAAGCAATGGGAAAAATATCCTCAGGTGAGGATTTAATTTTTTTTTTTTTTAAATATATCTTTATTGATTTCAGAGAGAGGAAAGGAGAGGGAAAGAGAGAGATGGAAACATCAATGATGAGAGAGTCATTGATCGAGCCCGCAACCCGGGCATGTGCCCTGACCGGGAATCAAACCCCGATCGCCTGGATCCCAGGTCGATGCTCAACCACTGACCAGTGAATGCTAAACACCTAACCGAATTCCATGTGTTTATGATTATGTGTGTAAGATCTTCATACTGTTTATGTAGTAAAAAGTATAAAGCCACAAATAGTTTGTTAAAGATTTTACAATTAAAAAAAAATACAGAAGCAAAAAGACCAATTAGAAGTCCAGGTGAGGGATGATGGTAACTTGGGCCAGAGGGTTGAGTACAGTGAAAAAAATTGTGATTCAGGATATATTTTGAAGTTGGAGGTAATGGGATTTTCTGATGGAGTTTCATTTTGGTTTTTGACCCACCAAATTTGACATGCTTGGAAGGCAAGAAGGAGGGGGAGAAGGAATAGAAGAAAAAACAATAGAACCATGCCTTAAATTCTGAGGAGAAAGATATTTTCAACCAATAAATCTATACTCAGCCAAATAACCAACCAAGGACAACTGAGGTTAGAGAGAGAAGGAGCAGGGGACTTTTAGTTTTCACTTAGACTTTTGGGGCCATTGGATTTTATGTAACCATTTTCATGTGCTTCTTTAATAAGTACAATTATTTCTTAAGTTGCACTAGTTCATAAGTGCTGGCCTCCTATTATTCTTTGAACACCTCGCATAAAATTTCAAAGACTCTGATGGCAGTTTATCTCCATTTATCTCCACAGTCAGCTTAAGGATGATGGAAGAAAAACATAAAATTAGTCAAGGGTCACACAAATTTCCAAAGGCCAGCTGTTGGGAAACATCAGCTTTTCTGTCNAAAAACATAAAATTAGCCAAGGGTCACACAAATTTCCAAAGGCCAGCTGTTGGGAAACATCAGCTTTTCTGTCATGGTGCCTGGCTGTTCATCTTTCAAGACAGAGTCCAAGTCTCACTTTTCCCAGGTTGATATATGAAAAGCACTATAAGGTGATAATTGAGTCAAAAACGTAAATAGTAAACCACGACCACATGTTCTAAATATTCAGGTTAGCACATTTTTCCGTGAGACTGAAATTGTGTAACACCCATGTCCTAACAGACAGGTTCTCAAAAAGTCATCCCCAGTACCTGTGTAAGGCCTGTTAAGCACCCAGATGATCCTGAAGCCACCTCGAGGTTATAAATCACTGAGTGCTTGTAAGGAAGAAAAGTAACTGAAATTTCATTTCCTATCTCTAGAATAACTAAGTGAAGCAAAACAAAAGCTAATTATAAGAAGTCAACCCGAGTGAGACCGGAGAAAGTAAAATGATTAAGATTAGGCCATGCGTGGCCGATCTATTTAAGAACTGAAGACTTACTCCCTTTCATCAGGAAAGCAAAGCTCATCCCAGATCCTCCTGGCATCAGAGTCTAATTCTAATTAATGCACATCGAAATTTAGGATCACTCGCTTAAAACTAATCTCGACCTATCATCTGGGGCTGGTATATCCTCCAATCCCAACAAAATCAGAGGTCTCTGGGCAAGGAAGAGAGGGTGGATATGAGAATACAATCCAGTGATTGCCACATCCACAGGGCCAGGCTGCCCGCTGTATCAGGCAGAAAGTACCTTATTTCATTTTGTCTCCCCTCAAGATGTGAAGTATCTCCAGTGTTTTTCTGTTGTGAGATCTATATTCTTGTTTGGCCTTTCCATCTAGACCAGGAGGCCTGTCCTTTCCTAATATGCCATTAGTACATAGGCTTCCCCACATTCTGTCCTCAGAATTTACTTCTGGAAGATCTTTGTTTCAAGTTGTGCTTGGGAAGTGGGTCTGAGCCCTGTGGACCCTCAGACAGTGAGTGCTCCTTGCTGGTCCTTTCACCACCCAGAGTTCTGGGAACATCCCCAGGCAGCCTGATGCCCAAACATCTTTATCATCTCCCACCTCTACAGCAGTGTGTGGCATGTGGGTTGAAATTAAGAATGTTGTCAATTCACTCAGTACAAACTAGACGGTTAGAAAGCAGGATTATCCAGATTGAACAGTTCTGAGTTTCCGTTGTAAGAACTTTAGCTATTGCTTGGGGACATAAATGTAATTATATCCACCAGGGTTTTCCATAGAAACAGAATATTGATTCTAGTGTGTGTGTGTATAAAGAGATTTATTTTAAGGAACTGACTCATGCAATTATGAGGAATGGCAAGTCTGAAATCTGTAGGGCAGACCAGCAGACTGGAAATTCAGCTAGGAGTTGATGTTGCAATCTTGAGACAGAATTTCTTCTCCGGAAAACCTGTTTTTGCTCTTAAGGACTTCCACTGATTAGACCAGGCCCACCCAGGTTGTTGAGCATAATCTCCTTTACTTAAGGTCAAATGTTTGTAGGTGTTAACTATATCTATAAAATATCTTCATAAAAATACCTAGATTCATGCATGATTAAATCACCAAGTACTATAGCCTGGCCAAGTTAACAAAACTAATCAAAGTAGTTGAAAATGTGATTATGTCTCCTGTAAATTATTTCCTTTTCATGTCAGAAAGCTTTTTGAAAAAAACACAACACTCTCTTAAGCACTAATATCACATTTGTGGGTTCATCAGGATGTTTTTTCTTAAAGGTTTTGTGGTTTGGTCTAAACAGAATGTCAACCACACTGGAGGTTTTTGATTTATGATCGGGTCTCAGTTCTCACCTCCTCCATAGTTCAGTAATTGTTCAAGCTTAGATTAAAACTGAAAAGTAAACTCTAATTTGTAAGATTGTCTCCCCTAACCCCTGAATATCCAGTTCCAATAGGACATCTCACTCTTGCTTTTGATCAGTGCCTCCAGGTATTTGCAGCTTCTAAAAACATTCCTTTGGAAAATCAAATCTGAAAATATTCAAAGGGCTGGCCCGCAGCTCTGCAAACTTTTGGCAATAATGTGTATTGAATGTACTTTGTTAAAATCTGTTTCTTTTCATAGCCTATGGCTCTTGAGCAATTTCTGGGAAATGTTGATTATAAGATAAGCTCTTTTCAGTCCATTTCAAAAGGTGACCCCCCAGATAGGTAATCAAGTAGAGGCATCTTTTCAGAGAAATGAGGGGGTGAGCAAACCCTCTGAGCTGCCATTGTCCCCGCTGGCGTCGTGAACCTGCCCATTCAGTCTTGAAAAACAGCCTGAGCACCCGCCAGGCAGAGCCTGCTGCCCCCACAGGCAGGTGCGTGGGATAAGATCCGGGGAGCGCATCAGCGTTTTGTATTTTAACTTTTCAACACAAATTCTAAAGCCAGGGACGAGGGAAGGAAAACCGCCAGGCTTCAGTACGAGTCAGCCCTCACATCCGTCCTTGAGTCGCTGTTAAGTGGAACCATGTAATTGTCTCGTTGGAGACCTGCAGA